CAAACATTTAAAGAAGAATTAATACCTATTCTTCTGAAACTGTTCCAAAAAATAGAAATGGAGGGAAAACTTCCAAACTCATTTAATGAGGCCAGCATTACCTTGATCCCAAAACCAGACAAAGACCCCATCAAAAAGGAGAATTACAGACCAATATCCCTGATGAACATGGATACAAAAATTCTCACCAAAATACTAGCCGATAGGATCCAACAGTACATTAAAAGGATTATTCACCACGACCAAGTGGGATTTATCCCTGGGCTGCAAGGTTGGTTCAACATCCGCAAATCAATCAATGTGATACAATACATTAACAAAAGAAAGACCAAGAATCATATGATCCTCTCAATAGATGCAGAAAAAGCTTTTGACAAAGTACAGCATCCTTTCTTGATCAAACTCTTCAGAGTATAGGCATAGAGGGTACATACCTCAATATCATAAAAGCCATCTATGAAAAACCTACAGTGAATATCATTCTCAATGGGGAAAAACTGAGAGCTTTCCCCCTAAGGTCAGGAACTCGGCAGGGATGTTCACTATCACCACTGCTATTCAACATAGTATTGGAAGTCCTAGCCACAGCAATTAGACAACAAAAAGAAATAAAAGGCATCCAAATCGGCAAAGAAGAAGTCAAACTCTCACTCTTTGCAGATGATATGATACTTTATGTGGAAAACCCCAAAGACTCCACCACAAAACTGCTAGAACTCATACAGGAATTCGGTAAAGTGGCAGGATATAAAATCAATGCACAGAAATCAGTGGCATTCCTATACACCAACAACAAGACAGAAGAAAGAGAAATTAAGGAGTTAATCCCATTTATAATTGCACCCAAAACCATAAGATACCTAGGAATAAATCTAACCAAAGAGACAAAGGATCTGTACTCAGAAAACTATAAAATACTCATGAAAGAAATTGAGGAAGACACAAAGAAATGGAAAAACGTTCCATGCTCATGGATTGGAAGAACAAATATTGTGAAGATGTCAATGCTACCTAGAGCAATCTACACATTCAATGAAATCCCTATCAAAATACCATCCACTTTTTTCAAAGAAATGGAACAAATAATCCTAAAATTTGTATGGCACCAGAAAAGACCCCGAATAGCCAGAGGAATGTTGAAAAAGAAAAGCAAACTGGCGGCATCACAATTCTGGACTTCAAGCTCTATTACAAAGCTGTCATCATCAAGACAGTATGGTACTGGCACAAAAACAGGCACATAGATCAATGGAACAGAATAGAGAGCCCAGAAATGGACCCTCAACTCTATGATCAACTCATATTCGACAAAGCAGGAAAGAATGTCGAATGGAAAAAAGACAGTCTCTTCAACAAATGGTGTTGGGAAAATTGGATAGCCACATGCAGAAGAATGAAACTGGACCATTTCCTTACACCACACACAAAAATAGACTCCAAATGGTTGAAAGACCTCAATGTGAGATAAGAGTCCATCAAAATCCTAAAGGAGAACACAGGCAGCAACCTCTTTGACCTCAGCCGAAGCAACTTCTTCCTAGAAACATCGCCAAAGGCAAGGGAAGCAAGGGCAAAAATTAACTATTGGGACTTCATCAAGATAAAAAGCTTTTGCAAAGCAAAGGAAACAGTCAACAAAACCAAAAGACAACCGACAGAATGGGAGAAGATATTTGCAAATGACATATTGGATAAAGGGCTAGTATCCAAAATCTATAAAGAACTCATCAAACTCAACACCCAAAGAACAAAGAATCCAATCAAGAAATGGGCAGAAGACATGAACAGACATTTTTCCAAAGAAGACATCCAAATGGCCAACAGACACATGAAAAAGTGCTCAATATCACTCGGCATCAGGGAAATCCAAATCAAAACCTCAATGAGATACCACCTCACACCAGTCAGAATGGCTAAAATTAACAAGTCAGGAAACGACAGATGTTGGCGGGGATGCGGAGAAAGGGGAACCCTCTTACACTGTTGGTGGGAATGCAAGCTGGTGCAGCCACTCTGGAAAAGAGTATGGAGGTTCCTCAAAAAGTTGAAAATAGAGCTACCATATGATCCAGCAACTGTACTACTGGGTATTTACCCCAAAGATACAAAAGTAGGGATCCGAAAGGGTACGTGCACCCCAATGTTTATAGCAGCAATGTCCACAATAGCCAAACTGTGGAAAGAGCCAACATGTCCATCGACAGATGAATGGATAAAGAAGAAGTGGTATATATATACAATGGAATATTATGCAGCCATCAAAAGGAATGAGATCTTGCCATTTGCAACAACGTGGATGGAACTGGAGGGTATTATGTTGAGCGAAATAAGTCAAACAGAGAAAGACATGTATCATATGACCTCACTGATATGAGGAATTCTTAATCGCAGGAAACAAACTGAGGGTTGCTGGAGTGGGGGGTGGGGTGGGAGGGATGGGGTGACTGGGTGATAGACACTGGGGAGGGTATGTACTCTGATAAGCGCTGTGAATTGTGCAAGACTGTTAAATCTCAGATCTGTACTTCTGAAACAAATAATGCAATATATGTTAAGGAAAAAAAAGAAGAAGAATAAGAAGGTAGCAGGAGGGGAAGAATGAAGCAGGGGAAATTGGAGGGGTAGACGAACCATGAGAGACGATGGACTCTGAAAAACAAACTGAGGGTTCTAGAGGGGAGCGGGGTGGGAGGATGGGTTGGCCTGGTGGTGGGTATTGAGGAGGGCGCATTCTGCATGGAGCACTGGGTGTTGTGCACAAACAATGAATCATGGAACACTACATCTAAAACTAATGATGTAATGTATGGGGATTAACATAATAAAAAAAAAAGAGAGAGATTTCTAAATGGAAATGGCCACCCGGCAGCTGGAAATATGGGTCTGGAACTCAGATGAGATGCCAAGACAGGGGCACAGACGTGAGAGAGAAAGCTCTGAGAGTACATGGGGTCCTCAGTGAATAATGTGGAGGAAGAGAAAAGCACAGGTGAAGAACCTGAGCCTTGAAAAATAGAACAGAAAACAAAGAGGTTGCAGTCAAAGAGTAAGGGACAAGAACTAATATCATAAAAAGAACAGCATTTCCAGAAGGAAAGAAATGCCAACAATGTTACATAGAGACATCTATAAGTCACTTGCTGAATGAATGTTTATTGAGCATCTTCTATGTGCCCGGCACCATTGGACATGCTAGAGATTCAGTGTTAAATATAATAGAGCCCCTGAAGCGTTATAGTCCAGTGGGGAAGAAGAAAAAGCACACATAAACATATAGCAGGTGGTAATGAAGCTCCATAAAGAAAAGTGGGGTAAGGAGATAGAGAAAGACAGGGGTGTTATCTTAGATAGGAAACGTCTCTCCATGGAGGTGACATTTGAACAGAAAGCTGAATGAAGTCAAGGAACAAGCCATGTAAATATCTGGGCAAGTGTCTGGAAACAGCCAGACAACGGTGGGCATGGTAGCTTCCTTCTGGGTGTCTTAGCCTGCTCTGACAGGTAAGCAGTGAGAACATGAGATGACGAAGGAGTGGCAGTGTGGAGATTTGAGGAAGGAGAGACAGCCACTGGCAGGTGCTGGGGGTGGGTAGGGGGTAGGGGGCTGCACGTGCCAGATGAATGGAAATGGTGCCAGGCAGAGGCAGAGGTGCTGTAGAAGGGAGACTGCAAGAATCAAGAGTGAGCTCTGGCTTCCTCCAGGAGAAACTCTGTTTCCAGGACACACCTGGTTCACCGTCTACCTCCAGAAAAAGCTGGCCCTTCCAGAGCGCCCAGTTGGTCAATGCCACCATTTTGCCAACTCCCTGACAGAGAACTTTTGAGAAATCTTCATTTCCCTTTGAGTCTTTCCAAATCCTTCCTGACCAATTCCTAATCCAGTTTGCTAGCAAATCCTGCTGTCCTTTCCTCTCTTGATATTTAGCGTTCCTACCCATCTTTCTGTTTGCACTGTCACAGCCTGAGAACAGACATGGATCCTTTCCCAGGGAAACCGTCTTCCTCCTCAGACTTTTCCCCTCTGATTCTACCTACCCTCCCCCACTGAGCCCCACCACCTCAGCCACAACACCTACTTCTATTGGTATTGCTTTTATCCAACCATCATTTTTATTTTACTTTTCTTTCTTCTTGGGCTGGGATTCTAACATCACCAAAGACCAAGCCCAAGACTGTTGAACCCTTGTATCAGGAACCAGGGAGCTCTGCCTATCTTAGCCTCTTCACTGTGGCCCTCCCCCTTGGCCTGAACTTGTCCATCCCCTTGCCCCAAACCTGTTCCCAAGTTGGGCCACAGTCTCAGCCATGTCATCTGGGCAAACGTGTTGGTTGATCCAGTACCGTCCACAGGCCTCCCTGGCTCTATCTGGTCACGTAATGGTCACCCCTCCTTCATCTGTGTGCCCACCCTCACCAATCACTCCCCGCTCCTGGCACGTAAATGTGACATTAGGGGAACATGTGGCCGAGGACAGTGTGAATCTCTGGCTTCAATTTGTCAACTCTGAGGATTGCTCCTGCTTTAAGCAACTGCTTAGATCCTTGATCTAATAATGTAGGGAGGAGGGAGCACTCATGAAACTGGGACAGCCCAAGCACAGTGATGTGCTCGCAGCTTAAAAGCCACAGCAAAACAAACAAATAAATGCAGCATTTCCACTCTGAAGCTTCGTTAATAAGCAGCAGCAGGGCAAACCCTGTTATTCAGCAAATATGTACTTGAATCTATCCATCTCCGTTGAAGTTACAGGAAAATGTAGTCCCTTCCCAACCCCAAGCCCCTATTCCCCTGACAAAACAGCAAAGTCATGGGCCAGGAACTGTTATTTTAGCCTTTCTCCGAAGCATCTCCTCTTGGCTCCTAACAGAGCTGGGAGGTCTCCCTCTGGCCCCATTATTCAGGGGGAATGAACACCATCAGCCTGTGAGCTAGCTTGGCCTAAACTTGGCCCTGGAGACTAAGAAGAGTGGGAGGGGCAGAATACGAGGGAAGAACAGAGGGTAAGAACCTTCTAGGCTGCTTACTGCCCTTGGAAGCACCAGGGTGGGGGGAAAGAAGACTTCAACAGCCTGCCACCGTAAGTTGCGCCTCTGAGAGCTGCTGTCGCTGAGGGAGGCTGAGCAGGAGCCCCTGACCTTCTCCACAGCTCCCAGGGGACACAGCCTGTGGCCCCTCCTGAGCGCCCCTCCCCGCCCGCCTTTGGCCTCAGCCCTCTCTGCAGCACGCGGCGGCGCGCACACCCCGTCCTGGGTGAACTCCCCAGGGTGAAGCCCTAAAGGCAACTGAGAAGGCTTTAAAAAACAAATCCCCGTGATCCATGTGGAGGGGAACAAAAACCCCACAAAAAACAAAAAACAAAACCAAACCCAGCAACGTTTGAGTAGCATCTCGGGCACTGCTGGTGGTGCGCGGCAGAAACGAACGAAATCTTCAGGCGGTCAGTCCCGAGCGTCTCTACCACGGAAAACAATGAGGAAACGTTTCTCTCGCCTTTGTTTGTGGGGAATTTCGTAAGAATTCCCATCTCTCTGCGGCTATTTTCAGGCTGTCCTCTTGGCCGCATGCAAATCCCGAGCCGCGCGCTAGAGGTCGCTGTTCATCACAATCCGACTTCGCCTCCGGTGAGGTCCGCCCGCCTCACGTCTTCACCGTGGGGGGAGCGACCAGCGGGCTCTGGCGGCAGGAAAATCTGCTGGGTCCCGCCCAGGCCAGGTATGTCAGGATGCCTCCACCTGCAAGGACGTTTGCCCTTCGTTACACAGAAGTATAAAAGGGGGAGGGGGGAGCTATCATCAAAGGGGCTTCCAATTAATTAGAATTTTTCACAAGTGCTGCATAATTTGTGACCTTTTAAACACTTGCCCTATTCCCCTGCCTTCCCCTCCTCAACTCCCCAGCTGTATCACTTCTTTCCAGGTGACCCAACAAGCAATTTGAAGAAGGTACGATAAGAACGACTTGAACAAAGGCCAGGGTTTCAATACAGGCCATACCTGCGGCTAGCTACTACCACTGGGTTTGTATCCCTCCTAGCCGGTTCTGTGCCCAGAATATAAGACAGCTTAGAAATAAAAAGCTGATAACCCTGTAAGCCGTTACAGCCTCGCTGGCTGCGGAGATTTCTAAAGCTGCTACTACTCAAAGAGCGGCATCTGAATCGAAGGCCCTTGTTAACAAACCAGAGCTCGGCCTGGCCAACTCCTACTCTTCCTTTCCTGCATCTCCTAATTACATTCATTTGTCCCTTCTTTAGTCCTGACTTTGGAAATTGCAGTTCTTTCCACACAGACCAACGCAAAGGCGAGATAGAGGCCAGAGTTGACATAAAAGTCAGCAGTACTTGTCGTTTCGAGGCAAGTCACGAAGCCCTTATTTATCGTTTGCAGCATTTCCACTTCTGTCCTTTGCTCCGGATCCAAAGTAGAATCTAGATGGTGACTCAGGGTCATCATTACACATGCAGACGCTGGTACAAGACAATGTGTAATTCAGCGTTAAGATCAGAGCGAAGACTCCGAGTCTTAGGGAAATTCCTAAAAGAGCCCAGAGCGCCAGTGTAGACAGCAAAGGCTTCTTGGTGAAGAGCAGGGCTGAGCACCTTCTCTTGCAGGTGGTGGACCTGGGCTGAGAGCACCTGGGGTAGGGAAGCAGACAGGAGCCTGGCTCTGCTGAGGGGACCGCCCCCCTGCAGCCGAGGTGCTGTTGCTGAGTTGGAGCGGAAGACAGGAACCACCAACAGTGCAGCAGCAGGGGGCGAATCTGCACACTTCCATTGTGGCCGTAAAATATACATAACATGGTATTTACCATTGTGATCCTTTTTACGTGTGCAACGCAGTGGCATTGAGTAGATCCACATTCTCATGCAACTGTCTCCTCTGTCCATCTCCAGAACCTCTTCCTCATCCTAAACAGAAACTCTGCACCCATTAAGCAGCGGCCCCTTCCCCTCTCCTCCCAGCCCCTGGGAACCTTCATTTTACTTTCTGTAGCTATGAATTTGCCTATTCTTTTTTTTTTTTAAAGATTTTATTTATTTATTTGAGAGAGAGAGAATGAGAGAGAGAGAGCACATGAGAGGGCTTAGGGTCAGAGGGAGAAGCAGACTCCCTGCCGAGCAGGGAGCCCGATGCGGGACTCGATCCCAGGACTCCAGGATCATGACCTGAGCCGAAGGCAGTCGCTTAACCAACTGAGCCACCCAGGCGCCCCTGAATTTGCCTATTCTACGTACCTCGTGTAAGTGAAATCATGCAATAGGTGTCCTTTTGTGACTGGTTTATTTTATGCAGCATAATGTCCTCGAGGTTCCTCCATGTTGTAGTATGGGTCAGAACTCCATTCCTTTCTAAGGCTGAATAATATTCCATTGTATGGATATATGACATTTTGCTTATTCATTCATCTGTAGATGGACTTTTGGGTTGTTTCCACTTTTTGGTTATTGTGAATAAAGCTGCTCTGAACATCGGTGTACAAGTATCTTTTTAGGTTCTTACTTTCGGTTCTCTTGGGTATATATCTAGGAGTGGAATTACTGGATCAATACGGTAATTCTATATTTAAGTTCTTGAAGAACAAATTATTTCCCACAGCAGCTGCGCCATTTTACATTCCCCGAAGCGAAGCACAAGATACCAATTTTTCCACATCCTCACCCAGCACTTAAAATTTTCTGTTTTTTTTTTAAATAATAGCCATCTTAATGGGTAAAGTGGTATGTCATTATGGTTTTGATTTGCATTTCCCTAATGATTAGTTATTATTGGACATCTTTTTTGTGCTTATTGGCCTTTTGTATTTTCTTCAGATAAATGTCTATTCAAGTCTTTTGCCCACTTTTGAATGATCATACACTTTCGAAGTAGTATGCTGTTTCTGTCCTGGCTTGGGCACTTCCTAGCTGTGTGACCCAGAGCTGGTTACATAATTTCTCTCAGTTTCTTCATCTGTAAGACAAAAATAATAGTATTTGCCCACACAGGATTGTATGAAGATTAAGTGAGTTTGTATCTATAAAGCGCTTTGCATAGCAGCATAGCAGACCCTCAGTAAGTGTTAGATTCATTACTAAACGAGGTGGCTTGGAGAGGGGAAGGATGGAGTGCAGGGTGGTGGGGGGAGTGGGGAGATAACCTCCTGCCACGGGTGCTGGTGGGACTAGCCTCAGAGATCCTCTAGCCTAGCCTCTGTATATAACCAGAAAGCAAGGAGACAAAAGGTTGGGCCCAAGGGCCCAGGGGCAAGAGGGGCCCTTCAAGCCACTGCTCCAGAGTCCAAGACCAGGCTCCTTCTACCACACTTTCTGCTGATTTCCATTCCAACCTGCAGTGTTCCATTGGCATCCTCGTGGGATATGACTTGAACATCTTCAGAACCATCCTGATATCCTCTTATTGGCATCATGTTGATGGACCTGCAACCGTTGTCCGTTCTGAGGCTCAGAGTGGGAGCTGGTGTGAGCAGGAAGCAGTGTTGCCTCCCAAATTCCCTTTTAGGGAAAGGGAGCCCCAGGTTGTCTCAGTGCTAGGGGCTGGCCAGCTTTCAGTCAGCTTCACAGTTCTCAGGGACCTACTCCCACCGTTCCCTCTCACTTCGTACTTCTGTGGGACAGACCAATTAGAGTAGAAGACTAGGGACTAGAAGACCCTACCCTAGAGAGACAACTCTTGGGACCTCCCCCAAAGGGCCTGAGAGCAGGCAACCTTCACTTCCGGTGGAGGTCTTACTGAGTGGAACCCTGCTTGTCTGTGCGGAACTCCCCATTATTCTGTGCCTGCCAGCACACATGACAATGCTAACTGCCTCCCAACCCCCACGTTGGCAGGTGACACAGAAATAGGTGGACAAATGGACACAAGATGAGCCGAGGCTGCACAGTCTGCCAAGGGTTTTTACGGCACCTCAGAAACAACATCTGGCATCAGTGGTGAAATCAATATGGCCTCTTTTCGTAGTTCCTAAAGCTGAAGTTCATTTCCAGTTTCCTAAACCGTCCTGCCTCCAACAGCAGAATCCATTCATATCAGCTTGACATAAACCCAGATGCTCTGCATCTCTAGCTCAGATTTGGCTAATGTGATTTCTCCCGTTCACCGCCCCTAGACAAGGCAACACGTACTTTATCTCTGACTGAGCCGCATGGCCCCTCTCATACAGTCTGCTTGCTGATGATTCACATCAAATTTCCTGTTTGGCTTCCTTTATAGATGCATGGCCCCTGGTGTTTTTACCCATCTTCTCGTGGTGCATCCGGCCCAAGAATGCTTATCACACTTGTCAGCTTAGCAGCCGTCCCTCTCCACCAATGCCACCCCCGGCAGCAGAAGGAAGTTTCATGTTTTAAAAATGTTTTGATTATTTCTTCGTCCTCCTACTTTCCCCCTTTTCTTCCAGGATGAATAAATGTGGGCTCTTATAACCCCAGGGTCCTAGGGACATCTTGGGTCATCACATGTCCAGCGAGCAAGAAGCACCACAGGCCCATGACCAAGGCCTCCCCAAGGCAGGGGATGAGGGCTAGGGAACCCAAAGCACGAAGGGTGGCCTGCAAGGCCTACGCAGCCATTTGGAGGAAGAAGTCGGAGCTTTGGGGGTTGCCCGGTACACCAAAGATGATTAATGCCACATCGGTGGCTTCCACACCAGTGGTTTTTGAATTGCTCCCCAAAAGTGCGGGGAGAGAGAGAGAACAGGTGGAGAACGAGGGACAGCCAGGCTCTGGGCCTCCTCCCTTGATTCAAGGAGAGGGGCTCTGAGTTTATATGTTTCATACAAGATGTTCTTTGGAAGAAGCCCCTCTGTGGCCCCAGACAGGCAAACCCACAAATGTGCTTAAAAGATCACTGTCCTGGGAGGAAGGACGTCGGTCCCAACCTAGCTCCACAGTCTTTGTCAAAGCATTGGAGTTCTCCCTGCCATCTCTGAAATTAAAAGACTCAGGCTAGGAGACGGCTAAGGCCCTTCCAGTTGCCTGATCTCCTCTTAAATGTGATTTGTAACCTTTAGACGACTGTATCAGCTCCCAGTCAGAAGGACTTGGAGCTCGATTCCAGCTCACGGTTCTGCTACCTGGGCAGGAGGACGCTCCTCCCCTGGAATCACTGATAATGTTGATGGCCTTGCAAGGTTGTTGTAGGGGTTAAAAATAGTATATAGAACTCTTGGGGTGCCTGGGGGCTCCGTCAGTTAAGCATCTGACTCTTGATTTTGGCTCAGGTCATGATCTCAGGGCGAGCCTGCTTAAGATTCTCTCTCCCTCTCCCTCTGCCTCTCCTCCCCCCCCCCCCACCCCACCAGCTCTCACTCCCTGCCCCTGCTCCTGTAAATGTGTGCTTGCTCGCTCTGTCTCTCTCTCTCAAAAAACAAACATATATATAGAACTCTTCTCAGCCCATAGTAGTTCCTCAGTGAAGGGTAGCTATGGCCTACCATGATTTTTATGCATATACCTTTAACTCAGCCATCCTAGTACTGGACATTTAACCTATAGGTATTTGAATGAACATTCACCAAGACATTCATACAAAAATATTCATAGCAGCAAAATCTGTAATACCAAAAAAAAAAAAGAAAGAAAAAAGAAAAACAGAGGAGGAAAACAAATAGAATGTGTCCATCAATCAGGAACTGAATAAATAAATCATGAATTGTGCGTCTCTGTATATTTGTATTTCATGACTGTGAAAAGGTTTGTTTATTGATCTATTTTATCAAAAGCAAGATTATAACCTATCCTTTTGTTTGTTTACCTCTTTACACTTCTCTATATTAAAGGTAAGTCCAATACATGTTATTTTTTAATGCAACATTCTATATTCTATATATATATTTGTTAAATAAATAAACATTGACTATGATGAGGTTGATGATGCAGATGATGATCAGTCACTTTCAGAGGAATCTCAGGATGTCTTTTGCATTGGCTACCAACAAGGAGCAGGCTCTTCAGATGGATGTTCTCTCGCCAGTCTATTTCTCGGACCCCATCTCTTCCACCTGATGAATTATTTGGGTCTTCCTGGGACCTTCTCCAAGAGAAATAACTCTCTGGCCCTTGGTTTTATTTATTTTTTTCTGTTTTACAACCAGAAAAACTACGAGAAAGGAGAGTTAACAATTCTTACCAGGTCTCAAAACCTAGAACTGAATGCTCAGCTGAACACCACCAGGGTTCTCTAAGACACAAACCCAATTTCCAGGTCCTCGGTGCTGGTTTCTCAGCACTTGGTTTGAGAGTGAAGAGGCTCGACAGCGTCCAGCAGATGATCTGTTCCACTTGCAGAAAAAGGGGCTCCTGTCTTTATACATAAAGCTCAGATATTTGAGGTTTCTGTTTTATTCTTGAGATCTTTTCCTAACTACATTTACAGTAAAATATTCATTTTTCAGGCACGTAGGCCAGTGCTAACCAAATATTTCCATCACACAGATGAAAAACTCTAGCCAGTACTACTCTAAGGATGCAGAACTTCTGGCCTGGGAAATAAATGTGTAAGTGAGATTGTTTGGTCCCCTTCTCCCCTGTGAACCTCCCACACACACACGTTGAATGTCGCACTACTTCCTCTGGCTTCAGGGCCCCACCACGACATCCTGTCGTATCTGATCTCTTCTGAAGTGTGCCAAGCTCTGCATGACTTTTCCCTCTCCTTCCCCCAAGACCCCTCTACCCCTCCAACTCCCCTACCCCCATACAAACTCAAATTTTCTCCCTCCTTGGGTAACAATCAGGAGGAAAGTCAGCTGATTCACTGATTTAGTTTATGGTGTGAATGGCTGATGACCTGATAATTTTCTCTGGGAAAGTGAAGGTTTTATCAGAGGCATTTAATGCAAATATTTACCCTGCAGAGATTATAAGTTCTTCTCTCCTCCATCCCTAACCCAGCCCTGAATTTGGTGCTGGTCCACAGTCCTATTGTCCTCAGGGCTGAGAAGATCTCCGTCCGTCAGGAAGAAGGCAGCTTCTTCTTCCCTGGTAGACTGTTCTCCTGTGATCCTGACTCTTTCCTACTATGGATATCATATATTTCTCACTTCTCTTCCTCCTTTTCTTCCTCCAGAGCCCAAAGCCCATAAGCCTTTACTCTCTCTCTCTCTCTGTTTCATTTTTTGGGCAGATCATAGGCATTCTTCTTCTCTTCCCATAGTTTCTCTTTCTAGTGGCTGCTCAGGGATCTGGAAAGAGATCACAGAAGGATTCCACTTTTATGACCGCAGGGCTCCCAAATGCCAGTCCGCGGGCATAACCATGCATTTCCTGGCTTAGGGAGCACAGTGTAGGGAAAAGTAGCTAGGATCTGGGCTAAGGGCCTTATCCATGAAATCCTGATTGCTGCCTGTTCAAGGGCCCCTCAGGTGTCTTGAGTGTGGTCTTGGGTAACATTTATTTTTCTCCTTCCTTCTGCCACTCTCCACCCTCAGGATCTTCCTACAAGGACCGTTGCCTTCTGCCGTCCCACAGCAACTCTAGCTGCTTTGTTGTATTTCCCCGAATCACAGTCGAGAGGTGGCTCCTCTCTTATACT